GGATGTAGGAATTCGATTCAGTGACCCCAAAAATATAAAGATATGTTGGTTACACTTCATTCCTAAAAGTGGAAAAGTGTAATCTTAGCAATTTGCGCTACTTTTTTGAGGTTAGGGTACGAACTCTGACTAGTTGAAGTTATATTGATATCAGAATTGGTTTCAGCGATCCCGAAAACATAAATTGTGGTGGTTAGAGTGTGTTACTCATCGTAGAATCGTATTATTTCAACGATTTGAAGTATTTTTAAGGTTAGGGACGAACAGTGACCAGATGGGGTTTAACGAATATTGAATTCGAAATCAGCAACCCCAAAAACGTATAGATATGGTGATTCAGTCTACAATACAGTATTTTTATGTTTCTTATCTATCAATATTGCTCATTAAACAGAATTTTCCATGATTGGGGACGCCATATTGGAACCGCCATGATTTTTTTTTTAAATCACCAGACGGCATTCGATAGAGTTTTTAAATACGAAGCTTTTGACACGTCGAACGTCAATATTGATGCATTTTTATTCTGGGCAGCCCACTGTGCCCGTTGACGTGAAACGCCCGATATATATACAGTGTTTACAAACTTGGAGAGGATATTTGAACAGTAAATCGGAGTGAGAAAACTTGAATGGCAGGAATATTTTTGTAAATATACAGGGTGTTCCTAAATATCATGTACATAAGGAAGGGGGTAATTCTTTGGCTTATTTCATGACTAAAAGTTTATAAAAACATAGGTCCGCAAACCCTTCGTTACCGATCTAGTGTTGAAATTTTATAATTTTTTTAGTTTTTTCTCTACAGATCCCACAATTTTTGAGATATTTAGCTGAAATTTGGAATATAGGTTACGCTGTAGGGTTTACATCATTGGGCATGCCAAATGGTCGTGATATTCTACAGAGTGACATTTTTTTGGGGTTTCTTCCCCTGAACTTTTGTGCCGTGCGCCGCTGGTAGATTCTAAAATCAAAATTGGATTTTATGTTTTGTTGAAAAACTCTTTTGCCTCTTATGATTTTTTCGTATCTGCGACCGTTATTGAGAAAAAAAATAAAAATCGATTTTATGTAATCGTTAGATGAAATTTAAATTCTGACTATTCCAGAGGTTCTCAATAAGTTTTAACAATTTTGATTATTATTAATTTTTAAGTGCCGTTCGGCAGTTTCAATTGTTCTGATTATTAAAAACGCTTATTAATATAATAATGCAAGTGCACTATTAAAAAATCCTCTCCAAGTTGTAAATGTTCTGAATATACAGGGTGTTTCATAACATCAAAAATGATACATGAAATCATAGCCTACTAGTCATAAAACTTAAATAAAACCTAAACATAAAACTTTACTTTTTGTCCTATTCAATTAGTAATGACACTGTTTCACAAAATCCCGATTTTCTCAAAAACCGTTATTGTTTCGTAAAAAAATTTGTAAAATTAAATACTGTTACAACTATTTAATAATTGGCTTAATGATAAAAAATTGAATATCATTTTAAGGGCGCCCTACCCCTAGTCCGACCCTTATTGGGCTTTCAACAAATTCATATTTTTACCAATTAAAGATAATAATAAACGCTAATCATGTACCAAATTTGGTTGCTCTATATTAAAGCATTGACGAAATATTATTGTTTTTCAAATTTTAACTCATCTTCAGAGGCCAATATCTCTTCAAATGTAACAAATCGATATATTTTAAGTTGCTCTACACGTGCCTGCTCTGTGTCAGTAGAGTTATGAATCACCCCTGTATAAGATAATGATTTTGTATATTCTATAAAATCTTGTTGTTGATGAAATTTGGTGATTGTGAAATTATTTTAGATATGCCATTCTTGCACAGGGGCACAAACTGAAATTAAATGTGTTTCTCTTGATTGTCCTGTTTTATATAGAAGAGTTCAAACGGGTCGTGATGTGCAACAAGTTCCCTGTGTACGTGAATTAATGTGTTCGAATGAACTTTTATTTTAAAATTTAAATTCTTAGTTTATTTGTATTAGATTTTAATAGCACAATTATGTTTTTACATTAAGTATATAAAAGTGATTTAGACAAGATGAGATTTTGATATTACGTAATTTTAATTAATTGTCATGTTTTTAAAAATTGTCTCATTCTTTATATATTTTGTGGGTAAAGGAATTAAAGATTGTGATGTCAAAATTAAAATATTGGTATCTTACCTATGGATGCTTTTTTGATACAAAATTTTTATGTGATTTTAAAATTTTATTTTTTTTAGAGAAAAAATATATTAAGTTCTTAACAGATGCTGTGTGAAGTTATTGGAGTATTGTTTGTATTTTTACTAAAATCGTGCCTTTTATCAGTATTCTGTAAATAAATATAAATATTGTAATTACATATATTATTACCATCTGTAGATTAGGTAATAATGAATTTGCAATTAATTTTAATTAGAACTTTTAGTTTATTGTTATGTTAAAAATGTTAATTATTTTTAATAAAATCGTTTTCAGTTAATATTTTTATGCATATAAAGTATTGGATACAAATTATACACCCTGTATATTTTCTACTATTTCGTATACAGAGGCAGCTGGTGAAAATTAAGATGCTATTTTGGAACAAAATTTGTGAAACAAAAAATTGTATTTTTTTTTTATAATCAACTAATAGATGGTCAGGTACTTTTTTTATTATTCACAAAATAATTTTTTTTCTTAGTTACACCTTTTTAAATTTTAATTTGATATTCCTTTTTTTTAATTTCTTAATGTTGTTACTTTAAAAAGAAATGTAATTTTATGAAAAGTAAAAAAATCCTCGGTTGTATGTATCAGCTGATTGTAAAAAACTAGTTTGCACATACACTTTCCGAGATCCGAAGGGAGGCTACCTACAATTTCCTTTTCTTTGCAAATTTCGCCAGCAAATTTTTTGTTATGAAAGTTTTCTATAGGACCTAGAATTCATCCTCTAGTGTGTGGGTCCATGCTTCGTTATCAAAATATGACGATTTTAATTTGCACCAGCCCGCTTTATACATTTTTCACACATTTTACGAAAAACTGAGGTGAAAAATTAACCAAAAAAAAGTTCCCTCTTATCTGCCACTGGTTAATATCAAAAATTAATTTGCACTGCATTGTCTAAAATCTAGTTATCCATCCATCTTTTTGAATATGTCCACACAGCTGTCATTTTGACATTTCACTTTTTTTTTTTTAATTTATCATTGAGACATGCAGAGAAGAAAAACAAAAGTTTTTAATGCTCCTGCTGCAAAAGCTTTGTCTTTTGATGCCACCGATAAAGCCATAAAGAGAGTGATAGCACCATACGTTAAAGTAGTTAGAAGAAGTGGAAAAGAAGCCCCTTCAGAACGGGAATACCAAAAATTTAATTTCTATGTACAGAATAAACCCAGCGTATTACTTCAGGATTTATCAGCATTTTTATTAGACAATGTAGACTTGATAACGCTGTTACATGAAACAGGAGATGTGTTAAAGTCTACCACAAGAGCATATGGTAAGTACTGAAGGAAAAATTAATTATATTTCAACATTTGGTCATTTGAAATATTCAATGTGAAATTGTAAAAAAGATAACGCAAACAAATTTTTTAGAATTGAATTTTATATTCAAAATTTTGTTATTTTTTTCGATATTTGTTGAATATTTAAAGTGAAATTGTGAGAAAAATAAAGGAAAAAATTTTTTTTCATTTTAGTTATCATTAATTGATGTTTAAGAAACAATAAACCTACTCCTTTAATTTTTTATAAAACTTAAGTTTCAGGAAAGGAAAACGGTTCGACTGATCAATTTCAAAATTTACAAGCCTTATGGGCATGTGTTGAGCTAAAAAAAACCTACTAACATTGAAACTTTTCGCAGTATTCGTAAAGTAGTCCTCGATTTTCCAAAACAGAAAAAGTAATTTTTTTGCACTTTTTCAAACTAATACTGAGTTTAAAAAAATTTTCTTTTTCAAGTATACAAAGGCCCTCGAAGAGAATTGATTCATGTTTCCAAAAGCCACCTTTCGTTTGCTGTATGATCATTAGTTCATGAGATATCGATGATCAAAAAAAGATGACTTTTTACTCAATAGCTGATATCTCAATGAGAAATAATCATACAAAAAATTAAAAACAAAACAAATTGAAGCTGAAGAATCAGGCTAAAGGACCCTAGCATTGATTCAAATTATTTTGAGCCTGTGGGCTGTTTTGAAAAAAAAAATTGTAAAATTTTTGCCTTGTATTATTTCTTTTGATTGCGGCGAGAGTGATGCTCAAAAAAATGTTTTCAAGATTTCAAAATTAGAATCTTCAAGATGCTCCTTTTATTTTCTCGATACAACCATTATTCATGAAGTTGCAACCTTTCAAAAATCACTAAAAAAATTTCAAAATTTTTCTGCTCCCTTAATTTTTTTGCTAAGTGTATTCTGTGTATATATGACTTAAGTCAAATGTATTGCAAGTTGATAATTTTATGTCCTGTTAGGTGTAACAATATACATGGTGGACTCGGCATCAGAAGAAATTTATCAAAGCCAAAAGAACTTTCTAAGCGAAAGACACAAGGTAAATTGGAAAATTCAGAAAGGTAGTATTGTTGCTGCCTATGTTGCATTCAGAAAAGAATATGTCATGGTGGATGACATTTTAGGTGACGAAAGATTTCCTGCAGGCTTAGGTTACCAAGGTAAACTGAATATGAATTTTTAAATACATAAATTTAGATATGATTTAAATTAATTGCAATTATATGAACCATTTTGAAAACAAATTCATCATTATTCATATGTAAAGGCTTCGAGTAAAAAACAAATTATATTAAAATGTTGTTTTTTTTTTGTTGTTAAATGGACCCTAAGAACTTGCATATTTCATTTAGAAACTGTACTCCCTTAAATTACAAACCTTAAACGTGTTATGATTTTTTTACAGGTCTGTTTCTGAAAAATTGTATTAGCAATTTCTTTATTCAAAATCAAATAACACAACGTTATCCTACACCACTGAAAGTGCTCCTGGACCAGTGTCTTTAGAGATCTATTCACTTTAAAATTATACATATGTACAAATTTAAAAGTGCAACAACGTCCGATATATTTACATTTGTAAATAATTGTAGCTGACATAAGAACTGAAAAGGCAAATTAATAAACTTCATACTTGTTCATGTAGGTTAATGACCTGTATATTTACAACACCTGCATATCAAAAATTAGATATGAAAAAAACAAAAAAAAGAATAGGAATTAGTAAACTGTATATATTTATTTTAGAGGGAAGATTTTAGTACACAAGAAATGTTTATTTACTTTTATACTAGGACATTTATAAAAATAGCTTACCTATCATTTATTTAAAACAATTTTTTATCCAATATCGAAAGGCTGTTTTACTACAGAGCTATAAAAATCGTAATTATCTCGAAAACCAAATCTTTTAAAATCTACAAGAATTTTTTTCAAGGTAAATTGTTTGTTCAAATATTACTAAATAAACACCAATGTAGGATTCCATTTCAAACTGTTTCAGAATTTTAAAAAAATTAGATTGTATATTGGAATTTTTGTATTTGGACATTACAAAAAAACATTGTTCTGTGCAAAACAGACTTACGATATTTTATTAAAATTTCGGAAATTAATTCCTGACAAGTGTTTATTAATTTTTATTTTTGTTTCTCCTGCAAAACAATATATACCAGAGTTTAAAACTAAGGTAAAAATATATAAAGATCTGTTCAGCAATTTTTACAAATTTCGCACTTAATTTGAAAAAAAGTGCAGTACAACCTCGATAATTATGACAAATCAGGGAAAAGGGATGTCCGGATAAGTGATTTGTTCGGATTGTTTTTTGTTCTTTGTATTGTTAATCACAAAACTAGTAAAAATAACATTTATTGTTACGAAAAATAGTCAAACAAAACTAACAAAAGTTTACTACAAGTATACCTATATTCCTGTGTATAGCATAGGCGCCGACTTTTAAAACTTTTGTCGGGTGCTCGGCTGCCTTATAAGCATTTTTTTGCCAGATAACATTAAAAAGCAAGAGAAATGAGTCGTCATTGGAAATAGCATGAGGTAAAAGATTTAAAATACGCATTTCTTCGAATTAGATTTTATGAAAAACTTTTTAAAAAATATATATCGAAATTAATTAAACTTGTAAAAATAAATAAACTTTATTATTGTTTCGATACAAATTTCAAAAATTTAACAATTTAATAATTTTAACAAAAAATAAACTTCTATGGAATAACAAGTGAAAATATAAAAAAAATATACTGTGCTATTTTTTTAAAACCTGACATAGGCCAACTTTTTTATTTGAAGTGATAGACTAGTATGTACTTACAAATGCAAAGTTATAGGAAATAACTTGATTAAGAAGAATTTACAAATAATTCTTTCCAATGTTGCCAGATTTCTGCAGTAGCTACTAAAACAAAATTTTTTAAATGGTGACACAGTATTTTTTTAACATAGTTTGACAAACCTTCAAATTCTAAATAGAAAATGTTATGTCACATTTCTTTATTGGGGTAGCCGTTTTAAAATAATCAGCAAAAACAACGAAAATAATCTGTAGTCGGCAGTAGAAGTTCTTGGATATTAAACAAAAATTGTGCTGTTTTAAATGAACCATCATTATTATACTCTCATTGTGTTATTTGACAGCTGTTGTATTTGAATGTGTATACAAATAACGTTTTAATTCAGATGCTAAGATGATTTTGAGCCAGCTGTCAAATAACACAATGCAGCATAATGGCCCATTTACACGAGGCCAGTTGTGAAGACATTCCATTAAGCCAATCCAATGACAAAGTTGGGGACAATCCAATAAAAATTCAATTGAAGTTTACATGTAGGCCAGTCCGTCATCCGCCAGGCTAGTATCTTTGTATAATCTATGTGGTCTAGTATATACGGTTGTGTAGAATGGATAGGCTAGGGCTAGGCTAGGCTTGGCTAGGAACGTACGTTCTCACAAATGCCATTACACTTGCCAATCCACTTCTTGAGTGGTGGGGGACGCTATTGGCTCCTAAAATTAGAAACCGTTCTAATTAGTGGAGTGGCTTGGGACAATGGCTGGAGACATTCCATTTACAGGACTGTCTCATTTACACGATGCCAATGTTGGATTGGCTTAGTGGAATGTCTTCACAACTGGCCTTGTGTAAATGGGTCATAATAATGATGGCTCCTTTCAAACAACACAATTTTTGTTTAATTTCCAAGACCTACTATTGCTATGTTAGCTTCTTTTAGTTTCTGCAGACTACAGATTATTTTCGTTATTTTTGCTGATTGTTCTAAAACGGCTACTCCAATAAAGAAATGTGACATAACATTTTCTACTTAGAATTTGAATTTTTGTCAAATTATGTTAAAGAATACAGTGTTGCCATTTCAAAAAATATCGTTTTAGTAGCTACTGCAGAAATCTAGCAAAATCAGAAAAAATTATTTGTAAATTTTTCTTAGTCAAGTTATTTCCTACAACTTTGCATTTGGAAGTACTAGTCTATCACTTCAAATAAAAAAGTTGGCCTATGTCAGGTTTGAAAAACATAGCACTGTATGTACTATGTAGAGGTAAAAGTAGGTAGCACAGAAATATACTATTCTGACAAAACTGATATTAATTCTTGCGGATGCTCCGCACCCGACAAATAATTGTGTCGGATGCTTGAGCCCAGGAGCACCCGAGAAGTCGGCGCCTATGGTGTATAGTCCTTTCCAAAGTCAGTTGAACATGCAAAAAAAACGCCTGGCAATAAAATTTAATGAGTTTCATAGGCGTACCTAAAAAAGTTTTCTGCTAAAAGTAAAAAATTAATAATTTGTATATAATGTGTAGAAAATTTCTATTATATGTTCATTTTACCAACAACATACTTTAATTATTTATGTCCTCAAACAATTTTATTATATTGGTGGTAAATTTCGTTTTGTTCCGTTTCAAAAGGTCTCCAAAATGTCATGTTGTGATAATATTAGTAAACAAAATATCCCTCTTATTTCTTCCTTTCGCAATTGTAATATGAATGATTGATAGAAGGTGTCTATAATAAATTAAAATTACCTGAATCACACCAAATTCCGCATTCTGCACTGCACTGCTGGGTAATTTATCAACCACTTGTCAACTGCTGAGATTTATTGCCCAGTAACCCAATGCAACTGTGTTTGTTTTTCTTTGCCGGCGCTCGCATTCTTCAACTGGCCGTATACATTTTTACCACCTCCACGTTTAGTTCGATCAGACCTGTATTTGGGTATGGCTAAATAATTATGGGAACAAGGTTTTCAAATATTTCAATGCCAAATTGTTGCGTCAGCGACCGAACCTGGTACATACTGTCAATATGTTGGTTCTTTAATTGATATCGGAAGGACTATACTTATATTGATCCTGATTAGGTCAATTTCGATAGACAGCCTGTCCAAATTAAAGTGTGTGTGATTATCAAGGTTGTGCTGACTTCAAATTATTTAGCAGGAGAAATGGTAAAGTCTGTATTATGTGTACCGATAATGACTCCGGATGGGGAATGTTATGCAATTATGGAACTATATCGAGATGTGACGCAACCACCTTTTAGCAAAGAAGACTTGAAAATAACAATTGTTGTGACGGGTTGGATGGGAGCAGCTATTCATCAAAATCGTCTCAGATTAGCTTTGCAGAAACAACAGGAATTGAATGACTATCTTTTAGATTTAACTAAATGCTATTTTGCTGAAACAGTCGCTATTGAAAAGATGATTACTGAAATAGTAGTAAGTACTCGATGCAAAATTCGTTAAATAATAAATTCGATATTCTATTATGTTTTTCTGTTGCATATTGGTACCTATTGTTTTTTGCAATCTAAAATAAAGTGGTAAACTCTTCACAATATTTTCAGAAATTTGCAAAAACGACTTTAGCCGCAGAACGAGGTTCATTTTTTATAATTGATGAGGAAAGTGAAGATCTAGTAGCAGAAGTTTTTGATGAGGGAATGGATGATGAAGAAACCACGTTATACAAGAAAAATGTAAAGGTCCGTCTTTCTAGAGATCGGACCATAGCAGGTTTGGTAGCTCGAACAGGAGTGACAGTTAATATAAGGGATGCCTACAATGATCAGAGATTTTGCATGAAAGTCGATGAGAATACTGGTTTTATCACTAGATCAATACTTTGTATGCCCATAGTTAGTGTGGATAATATTTTGGGTGAGTTGAGGTAATGAAGAAAAATGAAGAAATTTTAGACAATTTTTGAAATATATTTTTATGTAACATAACAAAATTAGGAACATAAAACTGAACGTTATCATAAATTTATAAATAATGAAACACAAATTTTTGCCTCTCCAATAAACATTAATTTAATTAAAATAAAAATTATACAGGGCATTCTCTAAGTCTATATCATAAGTTCAGAAGATTGTCTGCCTTATCATTTTATATCAAAAAGTTTCATGAACCACGGCTCAATCACAAATATATGTGTAGTTGATTGTCATAGTGTCTCAACTTAATGATGGAAACATCCTCAGTGTGTACTGAGTTCACAGATAGAAATAACAAAAAATGCTGTACACTAACTAAAAATTTTCATTTCGCAAAAACAATTTCTATTTTTGTTCTAAATTCTATTTTAAACAAAGTCCAAGGGAGTAGAAATTTCAGATGTCAGAACAAATAAGTAAGAGCATAGTTTCTAAAAAATTGGGACTGGAAATCAACTCCTAAAAAACAATATAGGTCCCACGCTTCATTACAAAATGTGATCATTTTAATTTTCACAAAGCCGTATCTGACTCATGGGGCTTTTAGTGATAGCATCTCATTTTTATATTAATTTTTTTCTATGTGAATTTTTACTTTATTTAATTCAATCATTAACTCAAGTTTCATCAATTTATGTGAATCTTCCTGTTTTTTCCTGGTTTTGGACCTCGATTCTTTAAACCTTTTAGTCTAAAATAATCCAAGAAATAACCTCATGAAATTGTGATGTAAACTTAGAAAACACTGAGTATGCTTACGTGTAGATCCTCAGAAAATAAATTGTTGTTTTATATAATTTTAGGAGTTGTACAGGTGGTCAACAAAACAAATGGGGTTTGTTTTACTGCAGCAGATGAAAATTTATTTAAAACTTTCTCTGTCTATTGTGCGCTGGCTTTGCATTATACAAGATTACACAACAAAATGTTGAAAACGGTGAACAATATTTAATATCCAAGCATTCAGTAAAATATTTGCATATGTTTTAACATTTAAATAATTAGTTCGTTAATGTGTCTTTTCAGGACAGAATTAACGAGGTCAATTTAAGGTTACTTAGGTTACAGCTGAAGCCATGTATACACGATATGGAATATTTTATTCAGAAACCGGAAACAAATATTCCATATAACTTTAGCGAGTAAGTATTTATGTATATATGTAGCGGTTGTAGCACGTGTTAAAAATAACAGAATATTGTACGGGGTGTTTTGAAAATAGTTACATACATTCAAGGGCTGATAGTACAAAAATATCTTTTCTCTGCCAAACATAATTTTTTTAAATAAAATTTTGGCCATATCTGTTCCTAAAAACAAATGCAATGTAAAAAAAATTGCTACATGCAGGGATAAATGTGAATTTTTTGCGATGATCCGGATATTTCTACTTGCACCTTTAAATAAAAGATTAACAAAACCTACAATAAAATATGTTTTATTTTATTCCTCAAAAACCGTGCATCCTACAAAAAAAATCAAAGGGACCAATTTCATTCAGAATTGATCGTGGATTTCTAAAAAAATATCAAAACAGGAAAAAGTCAGTGGCATACCATTTTTTTTTTTAAAAATTCTCACACGCCACTGGTGCAAGTACAAATATTCAGATCACCCCAAGGGTTTATCAAATTTCGAGTCAATATCTTTAAAACTCTGAAATAATTAATGAAGATAAATAAAAAATTAAAATTTAAACACTGTATCTCGGAAACGAACCATATTTCGACCTACGTTTATATGAACTTTATTTCACAAAATAACTTCGGCAACCACCCCCCTAAAATATTTCGCACTTATTTACAAACACCTTGTATAATTGCTTAAAAACTTTTTTTATTCTCGTAATCAAATTTAATGTAAATTAAATTGCTTTATCTTTGAGGTGTATAATATTTATTAAAGTACAACAGTTTTTCACAAAAAAATTGTTTAAGATTCCGTTGGTATGTAAGCCCAGAAGAATACACAGAAATGCCACAATACGTACTTCACATGATTTCACAGGTTGTAAATATGAAAGATATAGATCTTCATAGAATGATCGAATTTATATTATCTGTAAGGAAGTGTTATCGGAACAACCACTATCACAATTTCGAGCATGCATTCAATGTTGCCCATTGCATGTACAACATCTTGTGGAGAAATCTTGATAAGTTCTCAGATCTTGAGGTAGTATGGCACTTCAATATTCATTATTTATGAAGAATATATAAAATCATTCATTTTAGCGTAAGTCTCTGATAATGGCTGCTTTGTGTCATGATTTAGACCATGGTGGATTTACAAATAACTTCCTACAATTAACTGATGATACACTAGCATTGTTATATGATGAATCTCCACTAGAAAATCACCATTTTGATGTTGCCATGACAATTTTAAGTGTACGTAATATTCAACCTCTTGTTACAAATATAAAAAATATATAAAATATATAAAGAGGTCATAAAATTAACAAAGGGATATGTTTGTATACTTTTTTCAATCTCTGTAATCTTTATAGGGATGTACAGTGTTTATTGATATGCCTGCAGACACATATAAAAAGGTTCTACAAGAAATTAAGGAAGCTATTCTTGCAACTGATCTGGCAAGTTACTTCAAGGTTCGGGGTAAATTAGAACAATTGAGAAGTGAGAACCTTTTAAACTGGAAAAATGATCGACATAGAATGCTCTGTAAAGCCATCATGATGACAAGTTGTGATCTCTCTGGTTCTTGTAAACCATTTCATGTAGCAAAAAACATTTGTGACAACGTTCTCAGTAAGTACCACCATTAGAATGCCAAGGAATTTGTCTTTATTTCGTTCATATTATTATTATTCCCAGTCTAGTCTAGACCTAGGATTAGGATAAAGTTGCCATCACTTAAGTACAAACATGTTTATTATATTTCTAAATTCTACTAAATATTTAAATAAACATTAAATATGAGCCCTTACGGGTGAATGAGGTAAATTTGCGCATTATTGATGCCATTAATGAATTCTAATTTTCCCACTCCATTTGCTTATGTGCACTCCCAAATCATGATCCCTTGTCCCTTGTTGGAATGCCACTGTAGATTTCAACCATTTTTTGTGGAGGACTTCCCTGACTGTTATACATTTCAAACTTGGACTCATTGCTGACAATTATTTGATCCCAGTCTTGCCCAAGTAGCTTTTGGTTTTGAATAATTATTGCCTCTAAGGGTACTTTATTAAAAACCCTAACCAGTTATGTATTCACTGACGACAACATTTCCTCGATATGTTAACATCTGGTTCTTGGTTCTACACCACAGTAATTTCTATCACAGTAGCCCGCTTACAAACATTAACAAGATGTCTTGTACCCTTTCTGTTACTTTTGCTGGTCGATCAAAATTCTTTCCACGAACGTTCATGCTCGTAGTTTCTCGGTATGTTTTAGTTATATCTCCGATTATGGATTATGGCATATTCATTTTACCAAGAATTTTTCTTGCTCATATTGTTGAATTATTATTTTGCACACTTTCCACAGTTAATCGGTACGTATAAAAAGTTTGTGTACAAGAACCGAAAATCTAACAAGGTAATAAATAGGTAGTTTTATCATAATTATTATTGTTATATGATTAGTATTTTAATCAATAAGAAATTTGTATTTATGTGATATTACAACAACTGTTCAAAATTTTGTCCACCAACTCGAACACGTATTTGGATTTGATCACACCTAATCACATGCTAATTCAGTTTTGATAAACCATGAGACAACTGTTTTTTATCATTGCTTGTGCCCTCATAAAATATTGTTAGCAGCTCTAATATGTTCATGTAAATCAATAATTTCCAATTCCGTGCAATCCACTTCGTTTATTAAATGTTCTCATAAAAAAAGTCTTAGATGGTTTAAACCGGGAAACCGTGGTTAGCCATGCTATTAGTCCTCCTCGTCCAATCCACCATACTCCTTGAACTTCATTAAGGTAAGAATCATATTGTCGAACAGCTAAAGACACATCTTGATGAAGTTACAGGCAGATTATTTTGAAAAAATTCAAGATACTGAAAACTATCCATTTCATGAACAGTCCAATTAAGCCAATGTCTGTAACCCCTGCCAGAACATTAAAACAAAAATGATGTTGGAAGTGATTTCGTTCAATTGTAAACCTTATTTATCCCATTTCGCAATGAACACATCAGGTATAAATTGGGGATTTTGATTGGGGATTATATAATTCACAAAATCCAACCTGTAACGGACAATCTGCTTCGACTAATGCTTATACACACCATACAGAATAGGGATACATTTGAGCCCTGTACTTTTATGGGAATTTTCTTTCACAACATTAAAAATTTGTTCCTCGGCTGCTACAATATAAAGTTTCACAATTCGGTGGCAAATTTCCATTTGGTCACACAGTATTTGGTAATTTTGCATATCTATACACATACACCATTCAATAAATCGTGGTAATACGAGCACTATAAAAATCACAGCAATACTGAATAAATAGGCATGTGTCAAACAAAATTACGTTTTAATAAACACTAGTTGTTCAACTATGTGTTGCTTTTAAGTATATCAACTTCAATTTGTTTTCTCGAAATCTGTAAATATAATTATAACTTTTTATGATGTCAAAGTTTTTTGGGTAATTTGTGAATCACTCTGTGATTAATGAATGTCATATTTATAAGATGCATTACCTAATTACCTACATAAAATTTTAAGAAAAAGATCATATTTTAATTTTTTCTACCAAATTGTATTAAATGTAGTTAATCTTCTGAAGCAGTTGAGCAGTATTTGTATTACATTATAAGCGATCAATTCATCAATTATATTACTCATTTTTTTTAAATAATTAACCATCAGTTTACAATGATGCGTGCCTAATATAGAATTATTAGAATCATTAAATCTAATCACTGTTATACGAATAAATCAATATATCTTTCCAAATGTATAAAAATATGCAGGGGCGTTTTGTGTAAAATATTACAAGTTAGACCTATATCTCTTTAACTCGATACTTAAATGTTTTTGCAACTTAAAGAGTGCCACTTTGGTGTTTGTACATACATATAAAAGGAAAATAAATAAAATTAGTCACTCTCACTATGTGTTCTGCTGCCTTTCTAAGAAAATGACAAAATAATAGAACAAATTCCAAGAAATTCGTTCTATATTTATAATTATTCCCTCTCAAAATATTTAGTATTTCCATTGGATCACTTTGAATTTACTTTAGAATACATTTTATTTACTGATTGTTTTTTTTTGCTTTTATTTGTAGAAGAATTTTATAATCAGGGTGACTTAGAGAAACAAATGGGACTTAATCCTTTATCTCTTATGGATCGTGAGAAATCTCAAATGGTACCGGAAGATCAAGTTCAGTTTTTATCATTTGTTGTAATACCTTGTGTAGAGCTGATGAAGCAACTTCTACCTAACACGCAAGATCTCTACCTGGAAGCCATGTAAAAAATAGAAGGATACAGACGTACCACTAAAACTGGACCATAAAAAATACCTAATGTGATTTTTACGATTTTTCAATTGAATTATTCCGTGAAATTTGAAAAATCCTGTAGGGTGGCTCAACCATAAATTTTATAAGCAACGTTACCGCGCCAACTACAATAGTTGATGTCTGCTTGAATTATACTGTACCTAATCTTATTTTCTCTGAATAATCTTTTTTTTGATTATCATAATCTGTTATTGATAAAATAACGAAGATGAAGAAAAATCAAATCATGGACCTTCACCTGTATTTCTAATAACAGCTTCACATAGAGACTTTACACCAGGTGCCTAATCTTTTCTCGATCAATATTACTCAAAATTTTTCAGAGCAAATTTTAATATCAAGAAAAGCAGAAAAGGGTTAATAGGATGGTTTTAAAAAGGGAGGTTGAGTCCATTTTTAGCGATGCGTTAATTTTGGTTTTAGAACTATAGTATAAACCTCAATTATTTGGACTACATAGGAACAAGGCCAATCGGGAAGACTGAAAATCATGATAATCGAATGGTATAATACGCAATAGTGATTTTAAGATTTTCGCTGCCTGTGTTAATATTTAAAGTATGATGGTTTTTCGGCCGCTCAGTCACAGTGAAACATTTGCAATGTCACCACTAATGATGTTGATAGTTATTGGAAGCATTAGATGCCACTATGGATCTCTAATATCTGAGGAGTGGTTCTGTGTGCAGCGGCTTTAGATCCAATAAGAACCAAAATGAACATAAGGGCAGATCTAGGTGCTCTACTAGCAGGTCAAAGATTCCTAGTTAAGGCTAAGGAAATGAAAGTAATTTTATAACTGGTTGCGACCAGGTGCACAAGCCACGGCATGACAGCCAGAAAAACCATGGTATTTTAGATATAATATGCGTTTCAGTATGTATTTTATTTTAATTAAGACACTTTCTATAACGTTAAAAAATACAAAATAAATATTTTTTCTCTATATAATATTCAAACAAAATATTTAAACATTGTAGACTATAAAAGACTAATATACAGGGTGTTGTGCTTAATTGTGATACAAGCCTGTAGCTTCTTTGTTTTTTGACCGATTTCAAAAATTTTTTTGTTTAGAACGTAGGATAAAAAAACTATCTATCTGTAATGCTGCTGTTTTTATTAATGCAATTCAGTGATATATAATTTTAAACTTTTTCTTTCATTTTCTGATAGTATTTAACCACCTAAATATATCTTAAAAAAATTAGGTGAATAGGATTAGTAATAAGTGATATATTTAATTCTGAATTTGTAAGACCCTTAAAAAGGTCAACACTGCAGGAGAACAGGTAATGACCGTCACCGGCCACTCGGCGATCATGTCGCGAGCGACAGATGTGTAGGTATTTACTATACTTTTACCTATATTATATTATACCTATATTTTTAAGTGTAAACATAGAATGACTTGGACTACCTAAATACATTTTCTTTATTACTTTTCTTAATGACGTAAATGGTTCGCTTTTCTACATTTGTATTTGCGTTCCATTTTTGTACAAATGTACCCAACGTACTAGACTCGGTACTTGTGGATGTATGCGACGACGTGTATGTGCCAGTAGTACATTGACTAGTATTTGAAGCAACTCAGAACCACTCTCGTTTTTCTTTGGTTGCCCGTCTAGGGGGTTGTAAAATATTATTATTTAAATAAATTGCTTATAGGTCCCTCTTGCCACGTATTTCGAAATTTTTGTGAACAGGTATGTGTAGATGGGGTAGAAATTTTTTTTTCGGCATAAATTTTAAAATTCTGCTCTAAATGTTCAAATAATAATATTTACAACCCCCTAGACGGGCAACCAAAGAAAAACGAGAGTGGTTCTTAACTGCTTATAGGTCCATCTCGCCGACGTATTTCGAATTTTTTGTGAACACGAACATTTAGATGGGGTAGAAATTTTTTTTCGGCATAAAGTTGAAAATTGTGCTCTAAATGTTCAAATAATAATATTTTACAACCCCCTAGACGTGCAACCAAAGAAAAACGAAGGTGGTTTTGAGTTGCATACCATGGCTGGAGAAACCGTGGATAACATCACACAAACTTTTCATTTTTCGGTAATCAAATAAATATTTTATTCGGAGTCGATCCTGAGGTACTTTTGCAGCCTGGAGCTATGCAATATTTGTACAATCCTCGGTTTCGACCCATTTAGACATACAAAACAATGATTAACGAAACTGCCAAGCGAACCACACACCGTATGTATTAACACAGAATGGGATGAGAGCGAGCACGAGCGGAGTGCTCTGCCAGTCGCCCGTACCGGTATTATGACGTCAGGCAACGGTTGCTCAACGTTTTTCCGCGCTCTGTTTTCATTAATTTATTTCACACATTTCTCGTTGAAACAAAAAATTGATTTTTGGCATACTAACTAATTAAAGGGTAAACTTTTGAAATATGCAAAAAAAATTCTACTGAATGGGCCTATTCACAGCTAACTAGAATGCGTTTTTTTGACGTCAAAACAGCTAATTGGCATTAGCGATTTTTTTTCCAAAAAACAGATTACGTATTCTCATTCAGCATCCCTTAAAATGCCTTATCACCAAGTTTCATCAAATTCAATACATCTTCAGATGAGCACTAGTTGGCTGTGTATTGCATTAATAAAAAACAGCAGTATCACAGTTAGTTTTCTTACCCTACATTCCATAAAAAAAAATTTAGAAATGAGTCAAAAATAAAGAAGTAAGAGGCTTGTATTACTTTCGCGATCATGGAGTGCTCACCTGAAGACGTATCAAATTTGATGAAACTTGGTGGTAAGACGTTTTAAGGGATGTTGAATGAGAATATGTAATTTGTTTTTTGGAAAAAAATCCAATCAACTGTTCTAATGTCAAGAAAACAGGTCCTAGTTACCCGTGAATTGAATTAATAAAAACAGCAATATCACAGTTAGATAGTTTTTTTGAGCCCACATTCCAAAATAAAAATTTTTGAAATTGACCAAAAAATAAAGAAGTTACAGGCTTGTTATTACATTTAAGAACGACACCCTGTACATACAGGGTGTTTCAAAAAGGTGTTGCCAAACTTGAGGGGGATATAGAAGACATTGCGCTAGGAAATTTTTGCATATAAACCCCTAGTCGGAAATGAACCATTTTGGCCCTGGAGCTATTTTTGTCCAAAAACGTAATGTTATCTCGTTTACACCAAAAGACATATTTAAGTAATTTTTATTATTAAGGATAACGCAAAAAATGATTTGAAACAAAATAAACACGTTTATTTCTTCCGATAGGTGTTTATTGCATGTCCTATACACGATGTTGGTAAAAATTGATTTTATCCACAACCGTGTGATAAAAGTTCTTTTGCCACATCTAATCTAGCCATGCAATGTCATCTGTCACGTTGTGCGGAATACTGAAACAAATGAAAGTTGTCAAGTAATAAATGATCGGAGCTAATTGTTTCATATTTGTTTTGTTTGCGACAAAATTTTGCTTCTAAGTTGTTGAAATAGACCAATACATTCGAAGAGTAGGTATGTCGACATGCAGCTTATTTATGGCTAAGCAAGATCCAATGCTAAAGAAGCTGAGCGCTTTCTGAATCGCCAACATCCTTGCCGAACAACATTTTTGCCAATACATTGTCGGTTTAGAGAAAAAGGCAACTTTAAACCAGATGTAGGAGGGTACATCCATGAACTGCATGGACAGTGGCTATTGAGGAAGAAGATCTGCATTGAATTAAAAAACAACCTATATACCACGAGCTGTTTTGAACAATTATTATAAATTTATTATTTTTGCATTATCCTTAATAAAAATTACAGATTACAAATTTTTTTGGGTTTATAAATAAATATCCATTAGTAAAAATATCGGATAGTCAGTTTATTTAAAAAAATGAACATAAAATGCCTGATTTCAATTTCAGATCGGCCACGATCGTGTATTATCGAAACATATGGCTCTTTCGTAATGGCGTGTATGGACGCATAATGCATAAACACTAACACAGTACACACGACACACGTGCATCTAGCTTAGCATAATACGAAATATGGATATATTAGACAGACATTAGTATGTACACTGTGCTTGCGCTCGTATTGTGGTACGAAAACAGTTTATCATACGCCGGTACGGCGCATACGGAGTACGGACGGACGGGCCTTTAATGCTAGCACGTTATAATAGGAGCTAGCTAGATGATGGTGCATATATTATGATATATGAACTGCACATGCGCTAATACAGATACGGATGCTAGTATTGCGATATGGCTCTTTGTGTATAATACGTTTATACCATCCGGCTCTTTAAAAATGGCCATATTGCCCATTACTAGCCTTTTGGGGTCAACGTAGTAACATTAGGTTTTTTGACAATAATTGTTCCAGGACCAAAACGTCTCATTTCCAACAATACAAAAATTATCTTCCGCAATGTCCTTTATAACCCCCTCAAGTGTGGCAACACCTTTTTTGAAACACCCTGTATATAATAAGCATATGCTTAAATTCAATGATTAATGTACGATGGTCTAGACACGACAGTCCATCGATGGTACAATTAAAACTAGTCGTGTGGACAATGCACATGAACAACTTGAAAATTGATAAATCTGTGAATCTGCTTGAAAACGGCTTTAAAAGTTCCATAAAATGGGGGATTTTGTAATCGACCAACCAACATTCATGAACAGTTAGAACTAAGCGATATGGAGATCTGTATCGAAGTCCGAATAATTAAGTCTTCCTTTACTGTATGTTACATTATTTCCCTACTTAAAATTAATTTTTTTTATCCCCTAGGACATTACGAAGCACATGGCAAGAAATCATCCAATTAAAGGGGCAAAAAAGTTGGAGACAGGACGATTCACTGGTAGAAAAACAGGAATACGTATAAATAAATTTATTGGATTAAATATATAACTGACAATGACTATACATACATAGCCTAATTATTTATTATACAAATTTTTTGTTAAAGCTTAGAATAAAATATCCCGAATAAAATGTGTAGATAATCATTTTCATACATCTTATAGAAAAATCAGTTCATTTAGCTCTTACCAGTTTTCCCTAAAATTTATAATATCCTTACAGAAAAAAAAAACAGATCAAATATCAAATAACAAACATATACAAATATATTAAATATTATTCTAAAACTTAAGAAAACTAGTACTTAATTCATAATAAACCTTGTATAAATCTAGGAAAAAGTGTATTCAAAACAATCTAGGAGGATGGAATTAAACGCCTATTTGACTGCTATTCATTTTTATGTGTTACGAATTTTGCCTGGAACATAGTTCTTATCAATTTGCGGTTCCTGTAGAAACATATGCAGACATCGTTCATTTTGAGCTAATGGATGGCCAGCAATTCTGAAGTGAAAAAAAGAGAAATAATAGTTAAAAAATAACAATAATCTTTAATATTTGTGAAAGTTGAAAAATATCACATAAACTAAGTTCAGTAACAATACAGACGAACGACAATAAGATTAACCTCAACTGACATGTATAATGTGGTAATGTAATGGTTTGTAAAACCATTGTATGTGCCTCAGCCATATCAAAACAGGTACAAGTCAAAAGATGAATGGTGAATCATGACAACTTTTATCAGAATAATCGGTATTTTCATTTATATCCGAAGTTAGTATTATCCATGATAAGCCCCTATAAAAATTGAGCCACAGGTATATTTGTTATAACCACTAGAAAATGATTATAAATTTGAATATGTGCATGTCCTTCATAACCAGGTAAGAGATTAAGTAAAAATTCTCTTCTTCCACATTGATATTTTTATAATAAATGATTATTTTAGATATGTTTCCTTTGCACACAAAATATCAAATAAAGTACTTTGGTACTGATAACACGGAAAATAAGTTATCTGGCAACACTTATATTCACGATTTATCTAGGTAAACATATACCGGGTGGTCTTTTAGATTATTTCAAAACCTAATTCCATTTCAATTTTGAAAATTGGCGCACTAGGGTTTTTGGGTGTGCTCTTTTCAAATCTAATAATTTTGTTCTTGTGACACTTCCGGTCATACCGGAAGTTGACGTCAACTTTGTTATTTTAAATGGAACACTGTGTATATTTTTACATTTTTGAATTCTACGCTTCATTTTAAGGTAACTTTCATCAAGTTTCCCTATTCCTAAAATGATCCATTTTCGATATATTTAGCTTTTTAAGATAAAAAATTAAAAATCAGAATCTACTTTAAACTCGTGCGCATTCTACACTTGGATAAAGCAACAATATTTGCAGGAGCAGAAGCTAAATACCTAAGCTGCATAACCATATCTTCAAAGATACCAAATCTTATACAGAGTGGTGATAATGCAATGCCACGTTTGGTCCACTGGTAACAAACTAAACTCGATATTTTGTAATGAAACACCCCGTATATTTTTTCAAATTTGGATGTGCCGTTTTATACTCTTTCCATCCATACTATGGTTTCCTAGACTTATATCATCTAGTTTTTATGTTATTTGAAGTTATTTGGGTACTCTACTGAAATAGATTATTATTATTACATATTCGTACTTAATTGCGAAGGTGGTTGTGAAAAGTTTAACACGAATTCAAAACAAACGGCAAAGTTGTCAACATTATTTGTCATCAAGAAATTGTTGTACCAGTTTAAAACAAAATTAATAGAAATAATTACACAAATGATTATTATGAATTTATTTGTTATTTATGGACAATGTAATAGGAACATTAACAGAAAGTGTAGAAGATTTAATGAAACCTACCCAAACTTACCACTTATGCGTAACAAAAAAGTTAGAAAGATCTTTACAAAAATTTAATACAATTTTAAATATCTACAACTGTTCAAAATATTGACCGTTAACTTCGAAACATTTGAAGAGGCGGAAACAAACTCCATGAGTTGTACTACTTCTTATTTCTGCAGAATCCAAGTTCTGAAAAACTTCAATCACTCGCCTCTCCAATTCCTCCCTGCTGTTAACCAGTGTTCAGTACATGATTTGTTTCTCGGTGGGCCATAAATAAATATCATAAGGTATCAAGTCAAGGGATCTAGAAGGCCAATCCCAACTTCCTGAGTTGAATGAGTTGACCATGAGTTGACACCAGCGATTTCAATTCTCTTGAAGTTGCAGATTATCCAAAAACTCCTCAACATTTCTTAGAATCACTACTCTGAGTTGAGATTTTTGTGGGAAGTACAAAATTTTAGTTGGTTATCCATAACAAAGCAAAAATAATTTTTTTCTGGAATCCAGCTTCTCTAGACATATACAGATTTCAAGCAGCCCAAAAATGTTGATTTCGACGATCAAAAACTAAATCATCACTAAGTCATATCGCAGCTCACAGCAAGGCATTCTTAGGTATGGTAGCGCGAAAATATACACGTGATATGTAACAACAACCTCCCACCCCCATTGTGAGCAATAGTGATGTTATCCAAAGCCTCCCCCTCCCCTATTTGGACATCACGTGATTAATGGATGACTCCTTAATAGTATTAATTATTTCAGTAGAGTACCCAAATAACTTCAAATAACATAAAAACTAGAAGAGTAAAATATAGGGAACCATAGTATGGATGGAAAGAGAATAAAATGGCACATCCATATTTAAAAAAATATATTACAAAAAATCAAGTATAGATAGATTCCAGTAGACCAAACTCGGTATTGAATTATCACCACACTGTATAAGATTCGATAACTCTGAATATATAGTTATGCAGCTTAGCCATGGGCGTAGCCACGATTGTATATAGGGGGGGCGGCAGACAAAGAAAATCCTAGATTATATTGTTTTGATCGTTGTTTTTAACATATGAGTTTCACATGAGCAGTGGAGGTAGTAATTAAAAAAATATATATAAAAATCAGAAATAGCTTTATTACTTGACAATCAATCAACGAGGCTCTTCACAAAATCTTTTCAAAACTTCTTGTACAATTTCTTTTTTTTCTTTAACAATTTTCCGGTGAACGCTTAGCATACATAAACCGTTTAAACGGTTTTCGGTCATCGTAGACTGCAACCACGTTTTTACACGTCGCAAGGTCGAAAAAGACCTTTCTATATTGCTCGTACACGGCTGTGACAACGAAATAATGATAGCTTTTCTTGTAGATGGGAAGAAGGTGTCCACCTCCTTTAACACATCTGTAAAGTCTAATTTTTCTAGATCTTCACTGTGTTTACCTTCATCTTTCCACAATTTATACCATAATTCCGCTTCATGTTCAAAAAGAGGAAGATCATAGTACTGGCAGAAATCATGTGATTTTTCTTTAAAATCAACCAGTGTCATATTTAGCATTGAACTGGGATGGAGCGACATTAAACTAGAAGCTGGTAAATGTTCGTTAGAAAAACGCTGTTCAAGTGCGGATATCAGTGAATCTAAATAAGGAATGATAACTGATCGCTTCCAAAAATCGCATACACTCTCAGCTGTTTTACAAGTGAATATTCCTAATTTTTATGCCGAGCTATTTTTTTGGTTCTACCACATTATATTATACATATTGACGTTCTGATAAAAACCATTTTATTACATAAAATACGCTGTGAGGCTCTATTTTATTCTAGGTATTTATTAAGTTGTGATTATTCAACAATTATGAACTACGAGGATATTTTAAGTTTTACACAAATAAGTGGTAATCAGTGTGAACTAGAATAAACCAGCAAAAAATATTTTATTTTGCTTATAAATATTAATGATCGTAACGAGGCTGCTAGTTTTTTAAACTTGTAAGAAACTACGAGGCAGAACATTTGAAATAAAGTACTATGTATGTATATTATGTATTATTTCTATATTATTAGGCAAATAAATGTCATAAATGAAATTTAAAAAAATTGAGAATATTGTAAATAATCTAGTAACATCTTTTCATTTAGCTTTTTAGCGCTCCTGAAGACAGTAGCAAAGGGACTACTGAAATGTCAGCGAGTTCAGGCCCATTTCCATAAGATAAACAAACGAAAAAAACTCAGAAATTTTGAAGATATGTATGAACATACCTAGACTACAATATACAATGGGAATAGAATTATTATTGTATGTTTAGTATATGTATTTGTTACTGTATACAGTCTGTCATGATAGAAAATTTATTTTGATATTCGACAGCAAGACGGGGTTGATTACTTAAAAAATTTTTATCACGAAATATGAAATTTGTTATTTATGTCATAATGTCACATTAATTATCATTGTGAGTTTATTTTTGAGAAGAATAGAGGTATTTTGAGTTTGCATTACTTTTTTGGACATTTTAAAAGTTTCATTGTTTTTTATTTATTATTTGCTTATTTGATTATCTAATTGCTTTTTATTCCAGTATAAATTTGTGTATATATAAATAATTATCTCGTAAGTTTCTTCCAGGTTGCTCTTATAAGTAGTAATTAAACGTGGGGATTAAAAAATAAAATGTTACAAAAAAATTCACTATTTTAATTTATACAATATTTATAAGCAATGTTTCCTTATTCCTAATCTATCTAATTTAATAAAAAACTGACAATTAATTATCATAATCATAGGTATGTAGGTACATTTTTAAAATTATTTATAAAAAAAATAAATACCTAGGTACAAATTTAAATAGGACAATAAAAAACAATTAACATTTCAGTTATTGCCACTGTCTCAAATGTCAATTGAAAAAGTATTTTTGACAATATATAGTCATTTATTTACATATTAGTGGTTTTTTAATTCTGGCTAGACTTGAAGTACTTTACATTCTAATTACATACAACTCCTATGGACAGTTACGCAATACTTGTGAATTATGTACTCATTAATACATTTAAAACTCCCGCCACTAATCCGAATTCCGAAACAACCAATGACAGCTCACTATTTAGTCTAATGCATCCTGTGTTTCAAAATATGCGCTCCGCTCCTATGTCTATTTTAATTAGGGTTCTTTACTACTTTTTTAAAGTTCTTTTGAGTTTTCACTAAACGTTTTACGATTCATTTGTCTATAACAAAAAACTATGAAGCTTGTCAGAATTACAGTTTACCAGCGAACGACCGCTCTTCTAAGGGGGGGCAGCTGCCTCGATCCCATGTATTTAGCTCCTGTTTCTGCAAATATTATTGCTTTATCTGTCTAACTGTAGAATGTGCACGGCTTTAAAGTTCTGATTTCTAGTTTTCTAGTTTCTAGTCTAGTAAGTTCTGATTTTTAGTTTTTTTTTCCTAAAAAGCTAAATATATCGAAAACAGATAATTTTAGGAATAGGGAAACTTTATGAAAGTCACTTTAAAATAAAGCATAGAATCCAAAAATGCAAAAACAGATAGTGTGTTCCATTTAAAATAACAAAGTTGACGTTAACATCCGGTATAACTGGAAGAGTCACAGGAACAAAATTATTAGATTTGAAAAGAGCACACCCAAAAACCTTAGTGTGCCAATTTTCAAAATTTAAATTGAAGTAGATTCTGAAATAATCTAATAGGCCACTCACTTTGAGCCAGCCGGTATATCGATAGTTTCTCATTGCACCCAGATGGATTGATTATACTATACTCCGCGGTCGAAATTATAAAGAGTGACTAAGACATATATAAAAACACTATTACCATAATGCGTATAAAATATAAAATGATTTTTATACGGTTCAATATTATTTATCTTTGTGCCGCTCGCTACGCACATCGATAGAATCTATAATCGTCTAGAGACCGAGTTACACTGAACGTCGATCTATATTCTATCTCTGTCTTTTGCACTTGGTAGGGAATAGAGAAATGCTTTTTTAGTGGGTGCAAATGGACTTGATTTAACCCATCCTGAGAAACGTCATAGCATAAACGCAGACGAGGGGTCTAATTCCATGGCTATAATAAATTTATAAATTAAAAAAATACAATTGGGACGTTTTAAAATGCTGTAATAATTAAAATGGATCAAAGTGCCTGTTATAGCAAACAGTAAAAAATATTAGATGTTATGTTTTATTATCTTTTTTCATTATTTTCTATATCTTGTTGCCTTTTACGCAGACACGCCAATGGATCTTCGTTCCCGGCACGCTTCATCCCCCTTACTAGTCCAAAAGCTAGCGATGAATCACTCTCTATAATTTCGACCGTGGAGTATAGGATGGTTTTTACTGATGAGTATCAAAATCAGTATCAAGTGTCATTTGACATGAGTAAAATAAAGAACGGAAGTCAGTCAAAACAAAATTATTTATCTATGAGCATTTTCATATTCTTATTTCTTCTTCACTTTAAAATACAGTGACAATAAAATTATTGCAAGTTATGGAATATATAACCTTTACAATATTCATCATATTAACATACTTTAAATCAGCACAAAATGATTTAAAATGATCTTTAAAAAAAAACCGTTACTAATAGCATGAATGATAAATGAAATGTCTGTCAGAATGACAGTGTCACTTTAAAAAAACCAAAATGAAACTAATGGACTGATGCCGTATCAACAAATTTATCAGTTTAATTAAAAACAGTTTAGATTTGTCACAAATAGGAAAAAGAAACATTGTAGATGCATTGGACGTAATGAGAAACTTGTGAATAATGTAACTGCGGTAGAAACTATGAAATATATTTCTGAATTAATAAATATTAACCTTTTCACTGCTCCAGACGTATATATTTGCTAAAAATTTATAGGGCTCAAACTGCTCCAGACGGATTAATTCGCATGAATAGTTAAATTGGATCAGGCTGCTCAAACCGTATATATTCGCAACCATGCGCATTGTGACTCGGTTATTGCAATTGGTAAGGCGAATTTTTGCGGGCGAGCTTATACCGATTGTGACAAATATTTTTATGGAAAGAGGTACTGGTAATAATACCAAGATTGTTCATGTTTCTTTCAGTTTCTATTTAGTACATATACTGTATTTTATTCAAAATAAAATTGTAAAATTTATCGTGTCGTAATTTAACACAACATAATGTAAAACTATAAGTGGTCTAACTGCTCCAGACGTATATATTCGCACGCGATAAACTTTCGCGCACGACGCGGTAGCTACGTTCAGACGGATTGCGCAGCGAAAGGGTTAAATTAGAAAATATAAAACGACGAATGTTTTGCATGTGATATTTATACAATTTCATCGTTAGATACTTAGTTGAGTTTGCTGTCAGTAATCTGAACAGGAAAAAATATATAAATTTAAAAATGTTTGTTTTACTCAACTTACTTGTTAATGAAAACTTCTAAACCCTTTCTTCTATCTTCTATAAAGTCCTCTTCAAAAATTCCATCGTCACCCCTAAAAGGTAACTGTCTTTTCCAAGCCTTTCCAGGAAGAGGAGGAACCACAATTTTGCTGTCCCTTTCCAGTTCATTTCTTAGCCATTCAAAGTCACTATACCTTCTCCTAACACTGGATTCCTTTACTTTAAAGACTGGTAAATTGGTCTAACAAGTTTTATTTAAGAATTATTAGAATCAAGGATAAATTTTAGGGGGAGTATACTCACTCTCATTTTAACCTCATAATCAGTAAAACGCTTTTTTCCAACACCTATTGTTGTCACAGGATTCACTACATCAATCTCTAGAAAATTTGCTGGGGCCGCATATGCATCATCTAAAGTTTGTTTTTTAACATTCAATCTTCTTGTGGCTTCCACGGTGGTATCCGATTCGGCCATCATTATGGATTAATTGTTAAACCTAAAGAAAAACGTTATGGAAATACACACAGAACAAAGCTTAGTTACAAAATGTATTTATACAATAGCTTATGAGAAAATAATATGATTAATTTGTCAATTTATAAAATCACTTACGCTACACTGCTTAACACAAAACATATAATAGACAGCGTAACGTCAACCAACCGCTATGATTATTGGACAAACTGACAAGCGACAAACTAAAATGACTGATGACATTTGACAACTTGACAGTCTGAAACTATCTCTTGAAGATAGGAACATACTAAGTTTATAATGGTCCATGGCCTATCAGTTGACGTAATGTCAACTAATATCAGAGAGATATTGGAACGTCACATACCACACGTACGGTGTTAATAGCGCAGGCTTATTTGTGCGCTAATTTGTCTTGAAAATATGTGTTATTGAACATTCTAGGGTAGTTGTTTAATATTGATGACCTTGATTGGTTTTGTCTAACCGCCATTATTCTACGGCTAGAAATTGGCCTCAATGATTTGGGATCGAGGGGGATTATCCCTCTTTATCCTGCCTCATCTCGTGTAGGCCTGGACA